AAGGTAATAAACCATTTTATTCAAGCTCTTGTTTATGATTATTCTCATTGTTGATATTTTATATGTAATTGAGATAGTCTTGGTCGATATATATGCATCTTATGCGGACTACTTTCCATGGTAGAAATATAAGATTACTGACGACAATAGTTTACCTTGGGAACTAGTATTGCGCACAAAATTAGCCATTAAAGGTTATCAAAGTTAATATTATTTCAAGAGGTATTTCCTGGAGTTCTAGTGAGAAGCAGTGACCAGTGGGGTTCAACTGGGTCTGTTGTGAGATAGTAAGTCACTGAAGACAATGGTGAATGTGTCACTCAATTTCCTGGATTATTTGAAGTTAGATATTAACACCGTTGGATGCCGGCCGGCTCAGTGGTCTAGAGGTTAGGCGCTCGAATGCGAGGCTGATAGGTTCTGGGTTCGAATCTCGCAAGGCGGAGGGATGGTGGATGCGCACTGCCAAGGAAGAGTCCCACAATAGGACGAGACGGCCATCCACTGTTTCCAGGTTTTCCATGATGGTTTAGCTTTAATTGATTCATGATCTCGACTACTGAAATAAAATTATTTGTTTAATATTATATCGATTTTGTAATCCGGACTTTAAATACTGAAAAACAAAGTGTAAATTATTTCAATCTCATTAGCAAATGATAAATTTGATATTTATGAATTTTAAAGCCATATAGCCATAGTAAGAATGTTAATAATCTTTCATTGAAGAATCATATGATCTGTTTGTTGATAAAATGCTTTGTTTACTTAACAAATCCAAATGAAGGTCAACTGATTACAATTGGCTGGCTGTATTAGCTGGTTGACAATTTATTAATCTAGAATAACATATATAAGCGAACAATATTGTTTTCGATTAGATCCTTATAAGGCTTTACTCTATTATACAGTAATATTTATATCCATTTATGAAATTAATTAAACCAATCAAGGAAGTTCATAAGTCAATGATAACAACGGAAACAATTACATAATAAGTGAAAAGTACAAATCGGTAGTTTGATGACAGGTGTACTAGTTGTCATAAGAATAATAAAGGCTTGAATCAATATTACATAATGGTAAATAGGTCAATGATTAGAAAACTTATTGACACTGAAATAAAATTCATAGAAAGATTATACGATTACGCAATAAGAGGTGTTCAGATAATTGGACCGTGAAGCGTCAGTCAGTAACAACGTAGAACTTCGTACGTATGTACATCGGTCTGAGTTGCCATACCACATTAGCACAGAGATCCAGTTGTCGATTCAAACCCCGTAATAGTAGAGGTATAAGAGTATGGAAAAGATTAATAGATAAAATCATTTATTAAGGCCAAGGGAGAGATAAGGGTGCTTCACAGATTTCTTGTGAACACAAAATCTTGGATTGTTGGCACGAATTCCTATATCTTATGCTATGTGTAAGAGACCAGATCGAACATCATAAGGAAAACTAGTAAGAATACGATAAATAACTTTAAATGACTTGTTTCTGTCCACTACATGACAACTATTGATCAAGTGTGATAGAACAGAGGTGCGTATTGTCTTGACATTACCTTTTCCTAACCACGAAGGGAGGTGTTCACTAACTCTTTGGTTCAGTTGTCTGGTAGTGCGCCCAATACAGCTTTCTCCGCAGGATCAGCTGAATTTGTAGATACACATAGAAGTGGCATAACCTGGTAACTTATCCTCGGTGGGTTTATAATATGTAATGTATGGTTAGTTTCACAAACTGTAAACACAGTTAACCACTTTTGTATTGGCTCGAAAGAATGACATTATTTCAATTCTCGGATCCATGATTACTTTCTTCAAGAATATTCATAGTTAGTGAAATATAAGTATTTGTTCAATTTACCACTTCATAATTCTTGTCGTTATTCTATTTATCTGCAATAATATAGAATAAAGTATGTCCATTGGTTGTGAATAAGAATTATTGATATGATGAAAATCCGCGAAATAAACAAATTAGCCTTACTCTGCTAAGCTTATTGATACTGATTTACTCGAAATTATCAATGAGAAAAATTGTGTGAAGTTTATAGATAATATTCTCATTGTATAGCTAACAATACCATATCATGTTAATCTAGATAGTTGTGTAAGGACGGCCTACGGGTGAATTCGAAGGAGCTCAGAAAGAGCCGACGACATTCCATTCAATCATCTTTTGGAAGAATGTTCCAGAATCCTTACATGTACCTTCCCTATTAGACAAATGCTAATAACCTGTATGCGGATTAGAAGACTATAATGACTTCGTTTTTACTAAAAACTATAAATACCTCAGAGTTTTGTACCATAATTGACACTGTTTTAGAATAGCATTCCTTTCACTTGTCTTCTCATTTTCGACTTGGAAGGGTCCTAGCGTTCGAGTGCTCTAGTTGTACGCAGTATAATAATAATAATTTAAGCTCTAGATATAACATCTGGAGCTCGCTAATATAGCGCTTTAGCTGTCACTCGTTATTTACAAGAAACAAAACATTTTATGAAAATTTTTCTCGGGTCAAAGTCGGTTGTATATCCTTATTTACAGAATATAAACTTATATCATAAAGTTTTCAAGAATCCTGGTGTCATTTGAAGGTTTAAGAATACACTTGAAGTAAAGTTAACATTCCTTCGCCGACATATCGAGTTGTCGTGATGTCTTGCCTATAACATTACAGTCAGTATACTTGGTTTCAGGGACATAATTCTGTTGCTTCTCCACTCTTTACATTTAAAATCAAATTATTGTCATTCTGGAGAACACTTATATCCTTATGGTCTAGGATCCCTCTAATTTTTTCTGAATTTCCTTGGCGGTATGGAATTACCATAGAGTTTATCCATTCTTTACGTTGACCGATCATTTTTCCCAACTCGATGTCTGTCCTTCAGTTATGATTGGTTGGTAAACTCAACTAATCAGATACTTAGTGATTATTATCTTTTTTGATAAAACGTGTGCTAATCTGTAATCTAGATATTTCACAGAATATTTGGACTTAAGGAATACACTAATTTTGAAACAACTGTTTTATTTCAGACAAATAGTCGAGAAATGAAAGTTTACGGTCAAGAAATGCGGTCTTTTTATGAACTTAGTGCTATATGGTATAGTGTTAGAATGCTCAAAAGGTTCTAATCCATCTCGTTTTGTAATAACACGGTTGCTATCTGCGCTCCTCAAACAGACTTGGTCAACAAGTAAATTAGTTCCCAGTTAGTAACAATAGTGGAAAATGATGATCCCATAGTTAAAACTCCTGTTGATCTGTCAGTGACTAGACAAGAAAGGTTATTTGATCAGTAATTATACATATTGTTCTGTCCACGTGATTAACTACGTCCTGGATAAGCTATGTTGAGTTTCAGTAAACAAGAAATCCAGTTCCTGTGTGCTGTATTCATATTACGCGTTTATGGAAAATAAACTTTGTCATAAACCACACTTCACCACGTTAATTAAAACACTTATTTACTTCTTAGCCTTATTGTCACTCAATTGAAAGATAGAAGATGCAATCAAAATATATCATATGATTTAACAACGTAAATTTAAAGTACACATTACTTATATGCAGCGTTTTGAAGAAAAAGGATTAATTAAATTTAGATCAATTGACACTAATCAGGGTGATTCTTTGTCGCATGCACTTCATGAGACCAAGCGATACGATTAGTTAATCTTGGTACTAAACTTGAATTACAAGGGATACTTGGGTTCGAATAAGTACGTCTATGGGTGCTTCGTATTCCCCAAGTAATTTTGTGTATTGGAGTGACAACTGGTATGTTGATAAACCGGATTTCCTATATTAACTCAGTAAAGATGCTTATATCTACACACTAATCCACACTAATTTCCAAAACGTTTTGTCAGTAAGGCTTCCTTCTAAGGGGTTACCAATTAGTTTCTAAACTCGCCAATTCATACCTCATGTACTGGATGTTTGTAAAACAAACCCTAAAAATATTTTAGTCTGATGAGCTTTTGAGAATTTACCAGAAGTTATCAGTCGCATGCGAAAATCTTAGGCGATACATCAAACTACTTTGAGTGATTTTATACACTCAACCTAAGTACCTTGTATCCTGGATTTTATGAACTGTGCAACATACTGTTCTCCATGGTGAAGTTCTCTTCCTCAATTCACAACTCTTAGTAGTGAAAATCTCCATTTGAACCGACAGGTCCTACCAGCCTAGCATATGTTGTAGAGTAAATAAAAAGTCTGCACCCAAATGCTCTGGTACAGCCGAGTCGGGAGAGTCAACTATTCCCTCTCCAAATGCTCTCATATGGACACGTGCATACAACCACTGTCACATAAATCCTACTCACTGCCTTTTCGTGACATTACTACTCTTTACGAAATCGAGAAGACGAAAAGCGAATGACCGGCGCTTTGACCAGGTTGATGGACACGGAGAGTCCACCTAAGGGAGTTGAAAAACCTTCATTCGAAACCAATGGTGCACATAGGCTCCAGTATCCTGAAGGAACCAATGGCGTATGAACCAATCATTAGTCGCCAGCTACAATGGGACTACATCTGCTTACGATACTCCACTGCCTTGTGGATTAGACCTTTAAGTCGAAAGCTTGAGATGTGGCCCCCTAAGCAAACCACGTGGTTCGGTTTGGGCATCCGGGTAGTATTCCAGCCCTCACATAAACCGAATGATTTATGAGGCGCATATCTATTTGATGCCTTCTTGTACCAATGTTTACGTATTCAAATAAATAATAAATAAAAAGTTTAAAGAAACCATTAGAAAGGATGAGACTTGTTGGACTATAATTCAAAAGAAATCTTAAGTTGTTAATTAACTCATATCCCCAACAAACTTGTATATTGTATACGAAATTACAATCATATTTGTGAGTTACACATATGCACCGTGCTTTCATTTGACTATCAATCAGCTATAGATTGAATGATTCATAGCGACTATAAACTCCTATCATCAAGTGAATGAAAAAGTAAGTGGTTTATGCAATGATTTTGGATATTCACAAAAAGTAAACAAAAAGACAACCAAGTAAAAAACAATATCAGTTTTTTCTCCAAACAAAAACAACAGAAAATAGCTGAATAGAAAAGAAAAAAAATAGTAATCAAAAATTGAAGCAAGTACAAAAATCCAACTCAAAATTGTGTCATAATGATAAGCTTAAAAAAAGTTTACATAACAGAAACAACAATCGAAGAGTTCTACGGAATTCCTTAGCGTAAAAGCAATGCAATAAAATTAAAGTTAATTTAGGTTTACTAAAGAAATTCTAATCATGTTTATTTCTTTCGTTTGTTCAATAAAAAGAGGAAGACTAAATAAAATAAACAAATTGAACAAACAAACAAACAAAAACAATTACCATATAGAAGTGAAGTGATTGATAATGACCATCTGTATATATTTCTTTTGTACAGTAACCATTTGTTTTGTTTTTTTCTTTTTATTACAGATATATTTATCAAATAATTATAGACATAGCAGAAGATAAAAATTCTTCAAAACTGAATTGTGCATATCCATTACGATTTATATCATATCGTCTAAAAGAGTTTGTGAGAATCTACGAGAAAAGAAGACAAAAGATTGATTTAGAAAGGAGGAACATTTAGAATTAAGAACTAGATGTTTATATTTACACATGTTAATTCTATAAACAATCTGAATGAAAAATTAATCTGGAAAGGATGTCAAGAAACAGTATGATTGTTGGCCTCTGATAAGTATGACGGTGTTCTAACATTTGGCGATGACGATATTTACTGGAAATTCTATTCACAAGCATAGAGAAAAACTGTTCCCACCGACAAGCTATAAACCTGACCTTTTACAACCAAACTGACATCACACAGACTCAGATTGGCATAAATCGCTAAGACTTGCTGTAAGTAAGTTGATGCCATTTGTCACGCCAACATCAGCACTCATACAATAACCAAGATACATAGGCTTTCCAACTATTCCTAACGGATCTCCACAGAGCGAGTGTGTCCACATGTTGTTGTCGGTCACATAGAAGTAGTTTCCACTTAGAAGATGGAAAGTGCATGTCAAACTTACGAACACTGATTGTTAACTGATTCAGTTGGTCGTAAGCTAACGCAGAACCTGGAAAATATGAGGACTGGTTCATAATGTCACAACATATCAACACAATGATGAAGTTGTTAAGTACCGGAGTATTAGAAGCAGCAACAATATCAGTGGTAGTAGAAAACATTAGCCGTAGACAATATGATTCAATAAGAAGGAACATGAAGGACAAAACAGAAGTGTAAGATATTTTTGGAAACTGAGATTTAAGGGAGGACAACGAGTGGATAGGATCAAATCAGTGCGATTGATTCTGGACCATATCACATAACGTATCTAACTATTGGTTACAGTGACCGCACGAACCTAAACCAAGTAATTTGCACCTACCAGGTGACGGCATTAGATGAGGAATTCCATTTTCGCAGCACCGTGTATTTTACAGTTAACCCTCAATATTTTAATGTTAAACTAAATAAACCTAACCGCATCGTTTAATGTTACAGCGATAAAGCTAAACCATACTTGAATAGTGTTTCACTCAGAATCCTGGTAATAGTTTCTCCACCTCGTGTGTAGTATGTTGCCTATAACTTATGGTCCTAATCTTTGACTAATGATACGATTCTACTGACAAGATTAACATTGAATTGAGGCTGAGATAATCTTGACTCTTTGGTTCACATCTATTGTTAGTCTTATGTTCGAACAAGAGAACAGAGTGGGAAAACTTGTCATATTTCAGGCACCCAATCTACATATTTTTTACACCAAATATTCGCTAGTTTATATGCGTTAACTATCAGAACATGACGTACCTCAAATAGGAAATCAAACTTTAGAGAAAATTTCACTATACGTGGCAGAGGGCGGGTTAAAAGGTGAGTAAATAATCAACAAAAATTACGGAACAATAAAAAAGATGACCAATAAGTTCAAAGAAAGCTCACAATACAAGGAATATAAGAGTACAATAAACCAGTTGTCTAATAATCATACAATAAAAAATATCAACAGTAACAATCCGAAAATCAGTGTTCAAAACTCGCTCTGTTATAACACTAAATGACAAGTAAAGTCACTAATTATCATCTGATCATGCAAAGTTCAATGGTGGTAGCCATTATCGTGAGTGAAAATATACTAAAAGTCGAACCTCTAATTAAACGCATCTAATTTCGAGATGAAGATTCAATATGGATTTTCGCCTTAATCTTAAACAGTCTACCTTTTTATATCTTAACTACTGGACTTAATAAAAGGTTTATTTTCAGTGATCTAGTTCACTTAAGTACTATATATGTACTTACTTGGAGACATACACAAGCAAAAATAAAGTCATCGAAGGCGATCTGTCCTTGTTTATTACGGTCGAAACGACCGATCATCATTTTTATAAAACAAGGAGAGAGTCGGTAACCAAAACAGGACAATGCACTTTGGAACTCTCTAGCATCGAGTAATCCAGATCTATCCTGATCATATTGACGAAAACACCGTTGCCAATCCTGAACATATTTGAATAAATAGGCGAACTCTCTTAAATCAATGGTTCCATTTCTGTCTTGGTCAAACATTGAAATCATCAGCTGAACAGTTCTAGTGTTGAACGGTGTACCTATACCTTTAAAAATTAGCAGAATAATTGTTAACTGAGAAATGTTTCTAATCCTGAAATATTGACTAAGTTGATAAATACAAGAACTGCCAAAATATAATTAAAAGGAAGTTTTTGAAGTGAAAAAACTGTGCAAACTAACGTGATTACAACAAACTTGATTTCGCTGTTTAGCTACTTAGTTAGCCACTGTAAAACTTCACGATAAAAGAACTCAGTCAGAAAAGTCATAGAATCTTTATAACATTTAATAGCAACTAACAAGCTCAATTATATGGACCTAAAACTTAAAAGTAGCAGATTCTTGTAATTTCTAGGGAAATAAACAGCAACAGTAAATAACCAGGCCGATGTCCTAAAAAGAGATATTTATGAGACGATAAAAAGGAACCGAACAGTGAGTAGGCGAAAATCCAGGAGTACGAAGAGGAAAACCGACTGATATTATAAGGTAGTCAGATCTTGGAGGTGAATTCTATCAGGGAACATACAGACATATCGTATAAACGAAAAGCTTTGTTTGTGAACGACAGAAGTCCTGGAAGTAAGTTGAGTGAAGTAGAAGGTTTAGAGTGTGAACAAAGTCAATTTACTATTGTCACCGATGAAAGATTTGAGCAGTGCTTACATATAGTTGGGTTAGAGGTTTCTATGAATTGATGGAGAATGCTGTAAAGTAAGGCATTGCTTTGCATAAAAACTCTAGACAACATTTTAACTTTTAAACCTCACTGTACCAAGACTTGGTGGGGGGTAGCCAGTTGTTAAGTCACTCTTGACAGTTGTACATCTCCCAGGTGGTATGTAATATTTTGTCCTACTCTGTTCATCTAAATGCTTTGCGTTAAGACAAACTGAATCCGAAAGTGAAAGTCGACTGTTGATTGCACAGGACTTTAACACATCTACCTCAAATTTCGTAGACATCATTAGTGATTCCACACATCAGACAGCAGGATACTTTTGATCGTGATGAGACACACCTTAATGCGTCAGCTAACAAACGATGTGATATCTACAACCACAGATACTCGCTATTGCGCTTAATCCTGAGTTGTAAGAATTACGATATCAACTAATACTGACCACCCAGTCCTGGTAATTAAGTTTTAATGTTGAGTGTCATCAGACTGCTAAAATGTATTGCTTGAAAATACAAGCCATTACGGGGTTTATCACACTTATGAAGTGCCCAACTGATATGAAGAAATTTTACATATCCAAGCGTTGAGTCGACACTTGAAGTTGGTGTATACGGACTCTTAAATGGCTTAAGATTCTTGAAGGTTGAAGAGTTAAAAGGAAAGTTTGGAAGAATAGACTACTTCATACTACTTTTTCCCAAGTGCTTACAAGGAGACAAAACAATAAAATTGCTGTTACTAAGAAACACGTTTGCATACCATTTGATAGTGCCGACTGTAGCTCCGTGTGATCAATATTTCCGTCTCTGTTCCTGTCCACACTGAAATGAATGTCACTGAAGTAATTTTAACATTTACGTTTCAAAAATCCTCCTGACTGCTTGTTCGTCTTGCATATGTCTAATAAAATACTAAGAAAATGACTATTATGTCCTTGTCTTTTTAAATAACCGCATTCAATACCCAATGCCTTACTGATGAGCTTTCATAAAGCAGTTGATTTCTTTGCGCTCGCTTCTTGTTTTTTCAAAACGAGTATAGAATTTTGGTAAAATCTCGTAGGCGGTAATTTAGACACTCAACTGCATTAGTTTTCAGTAATAAGGAAAGTAGGTTGATGAACCTGTGTCAATCCTGACAGATTGCCTTCCACATTGAAGGTCCAGCTTCTCCTTGAAAATATTCACTGACGAGGCTGATTTTACTTGTTCAAGCAAGGTGTTCCAGTCATTGACTACTTGATGAGAAATACGGGACCCCATTTTTAAGTTTATTAAATCGCAGTTTGTGAACCTTCTTGCCATGGCCTCGGAGATTATTAGTGCTGGAAGGAGTTAAAAGATAAGACATTAAGTCACAATTGAAGATGCGAAATGTCAGTATAAGCTCACCTCGCGCCCTGAGATACAACGAGAAGGAAAGATTTAAACGCTTTAAGCGTTCATCATAAGGGAGTTTAGAAAGACCATTAATTTTGTTCCCACACGGTGAACACTCTCAAGTGAGTTGGTATCCTTTATCAGACATAGGCTGTCTGTTTGGATACAGTACTCTAAGTGTGGTCTTACATAGGTGAGATATAGAATTTGAAAAATTTCTTCGTCAAAGCATTTGAATGCTCGGTGAAGTGACCATAACGCACTAAAACCTTTGATAGCAGCTGCGTTGCAATGCGTAATTGTTTTCAAGTCATGGCTTATTATGACTCCTAAGCTTTTATGTTCTTGAACAACTAATGATGATTAAAAGCCAGATAGGAATGAGTCAGTGGTATATGATGATAGTAATGTTAGGTCAGTTAAGAGATATCCCCCAGATTGGGCTCGCCCACGTGGGAGATTGTTTTCCATGGATCGGTACGTGTTTGTCATAGTTAATCCTGAGGCTACCCACCTTTTTTATGGTACTTCCTATCTGAAGATCAATGATCAAGACAAATGAGTGACTTGGAGTTAGTCTGAAGGCAACTTGGTGATTTGCATGCATGGATAATGTAGTGTCATCTGTCACTAGCAAACTCATCCTGCAGGCAAGTCACTGAACGTCGAGCAGTTTGCCGACCTTTGTCAAGCTCAAGGACGCATAATGCGCACCAATCAACTGCTTGCCATAGACAGTTACATGAGTAGTGGTTTTGCCTTGTGTTTCTTCTGAACCGGAGAGAAACGACAAGAACCGAGCGCCAAAGAATTGGTCAATTTATATAAGCTTGTGATAAAGTTATTGGGTATGCTATTGCATATTAGGAGGCTGGTTGGTTGTAATGTAGCGTTGTGTCATGTCTAGGGAATTCGTGTTAAGTCCTCCCAGTTTCTGACGTTCATGAGTAATAAACGCAAGACTCAGGTGTAGTGAGTTGTGATGGGCGGGGAAGTCAGAAACCACTTATGGCTTTTATTTTGTGTATGTCTTGGCGATGTGATAATCCACACCACTGTTATTTAGTTCATATAACACTTTTCTGGAATTCATCATGTTAGCCATAAGACTCCGCAGACCACTATGCTACATCGTTCTTTGTCTATTTTTGGGGGTTTCCTTGAAGTTTTTCGTATCAACAACCACTTGTCATTGCAAAACTCTAGTAGCTGAATAATTCTCAAGCGCTGGGTTCTGTGACACAAAGACGGTTCCTTATGCTATGTGAACAGGGTCCAGTATCTATTGATGGGTGAGTTCATCTTCCGTCCTATTTTAGCAAACATACTAACAAAAAATTGCTTTGCTAGTCCTCATACCAAGTAAGATGCGTTATTTATTTCTTTGCTGCCTGTTGGAAGCTTTCTTGCTTTCCTGTATCATACTCTTCTAAGCTGAGGTGGGAAAGGAATTAGGGAACTTCGTTCACTGTCTCTAAGACGAGTTTATTCGTGCGTCTGCGTCGTTATTCTTTTTCATTATGGCCATTATTATTACCCTTCTGACCATTGGGTTCAATATATATTGTACTGTCGAGGAAAGACGTAGGAGGTTTCGGTATTGTATGTGAAGCCTGATATTTCTATACCATCGATTAAATTGAAGGATTTCGCCTACATTTTGGGTACACGTACCAAACACATGTGGATGAGTGGTTCGCCATGAAAGCGTTTGGGTACTGTTGTATTAAAAAGAGAAATGGACCAAAGTGTCATAGAATTAGTGAGGAAACCCCAAGTTATATGTTTTTCGTGCCTTAAGGTAACCCTCGTGCTATTGATAGAAGAAACCAGAGAAGTAGTGAATAGGTCTTTATTTCGATCTTAGCGCAGTCGCAGTGGAGCGTGGGATTATCTGTTCAGACAAACAAAGGCTCTCAACATTCAATATAAGATAATAGGGAATATAACGCTTATGAAAAATAAGGAAGTGAATGAATACTTGAACAATACTGTTTTGGCATAAGCTTGGTTGTTTGGGGTCAACTCTTAACCAACCAACCTGAGCTGTTACATTAGCTTCCCCCTAGAATCGACTTCCGTAGGAACGTCGGTTCGATTAACCTATCCATCGAAAACACCTTAGTTCTATTTCTCATCCCAAGGGAAAATTATCAACTCGCTCACTATTTGACTTACAATCAGTGACGACTAACGCTGTCAACGATAGTCCATGGATGTCTCCTCATTTACTAGCTTGTCATTTTATTTTGTAGCATGTGATCTATTCTACAACTATCGCTGACGGTTTACTGCGTGCTTTCAAGAGAAAGAGTGTGAGAATGTGGAATAAGAATATCTGAGGAAGTGCCGCGAGCGGGCTACCCAACACCATGTTGGTGAGGTACGATTTTTCCATGCTCAGACCGGCTATCAGGTGTTTACTCACCTGCCTCTTTAGTCGCCCTCAAGTAAAAAGTAAAGAAGAATCTACTTCAAAGGTAATGGTGAAAACCAATCACACCTGAAGAACTGCTCCACTGCCTGCATAAAAATAATAAGATACAAAATGGGAATACAAAAATATAATTTATAATTGTTCGGTTCCACGTAAGTGATTGGCCTCCAGAAAGGATTGGTATTCTGGAAGAAAATAGACATAGTGTAGCCATCTTATGTACGAAAAGGTATGAACACAAATCTCTATAGCGAATCCCTTCAGATTTGATATTGTGTCTCGTGAAATAATGCTCTAGTTGAGCAAACCACAACTCAGGATCACTACGATCAAATTCTGGAAGTCGGGATTTCGTAGTCATAACAGTGTCTATCTCCACTGGTGACAAATCCTCCAGATTATGGGTTTCTATTGAGTCTGACATGAGGTATGTGACAAATATAGCAATAAAGTTAGCACAAAAAGTGGTTACTATAACACGAATAACTTAAGATAATACGGAGTAAACTAGTTATATACTCAAATTAGTTTACGATAATCAGGTCTACTTTTACGATTAAGTAAAAAAAATGTTAATAACAGAAATGAGGTTAAATTTGTGTTCAAAAAGGGCTCACCAGTTTCGTGCCTTAAGGTAACCCTCGTGCTATTGATAGAAGAAACCAGAGAAGTAGTGAATAGGTCTTTATTTCGATCTTAGCGCAGTCGCAGTGGAGCGTGGGATTATCTGTTCAGACAAACAAAGGCTCTCAACATTCAATATAAGATAATAGGGAATATAACGCTTATGAAAAATAAGGAAGTGAATGAATACTTGAACAATACTGTTTTGGCATAAGCTTGGTTGTTTGGGGTCAACTCTTAACCAACCAACCTGAGCTGTTACATGTTCCAGCTAGTGAAGATCGTGTTATTATATCATAACTGATCTCAGAGAAGTTGTGGTGGGAGATCTATTGGTGTCATTTGTTACAACCAGAATCCAATTTTTCAGGGCACATTTTCTCATTTAGGCTGGGTCTGTTTGTTTCAAATACCTCGCCTAGAGTCACTTATATTATGGTTGGTAAGGATTTGTGGAGAAATGTCAAACCAAAAAATGAATGTTATTTATTATTATTACTGGTTTCAGAATCTTTTATTCAGCTATAATAGCTGAGTGATAATTATCACGTGAAATGCGTTTGGAGCTTGTGATATTGAATTTGAACTCTGAGTAGTTGTCCATTCTATTTTCATGTTCGGTAGCAGATTGATGATGGAATATTTAGTCTTCAGTTCTTAATACTGGGTCACGAATCTACCAAGTCTAGCAGTTACCGTTTGTCTCGGAGTTCAACCGGTCATAAACTTTTGTCCATCTTGTCAGAATTCTTGATCTTGTCTTTCAGTTCGATTAGTCTTTGAGAGTGGTCCAATTTGGAGTTTTTTAATCCATTTCTGCTCTGTGAGATTATTCGTTATCTGGAAACTACGGGATTATGCTTGCTTGTGAAAAAGTGTGCCGTTTGCCTGCTGTTATGTTGGGTAAAGATGATCCTAATAATGTTAATGGCTTTTTGATAAATTGTTTGACAAGAGTGGGACAGAAACGTAGTAACCCACCTCAAGATGTCGCAGAGGATGGGTACTAAGGCTCCATGACTATGTATCTGAGAGCTTGGGTGGAGATTCAGCATGTTGATTCATTTCTGTTTGAAAACTAGGTGTTTCCATCTAATTAGGGAATGTCAGAAGAAATACAGTTGATGTATAAATAAGGCTACCTATAGAAGTAGCTGCCGACCCTACTAAATTTTTTAAGATTTTGATTACTCATTTGGTCACTTAAAGGTTTGGGGGATATTAAAAAACCCTGTTGAAGACAATCTGTGATAGATTGTTAATTTTTTGAGGTATAGAGGGGTAACAGTCTGGTTCATAAGGGACGACTAGATTTTTAAACACTGCTCAAGTCTAGGAATTTCTGATTATTCTTGAATATGGGATTGGAATTAAACCCCATGTACTGGTCGAACATTATGGTTAAATGATTCTATAGTGATTTGAGACGAAGTGGATTAAGTCTAGTCCAAACGTGGATGAAGAATTAGAGCAGACGTTTGTAGATATATTATATATAATTCTTTGAGAGGATTCTTTGTGTCAGTACAACCGACTTTAGAAACAGATGAACCTGTCTCTTCTAGAGCACGACCG